AGAGAGAGCGCGCGAGAGAGAGATGGTTAGAGAGAGCGAGAGTGACGCTCCAACTACAAGAGAACCCGAACGACTCCTGAATCTCTGCTAGCCTGCCGTCTCCGAAAAATAACAGCCGTGTGGCAAGCTAGCAGAGGTCTTTGTGGAATTAGGCAAAAGTTAGGATCGAGTTTCAAGGGCAGACTAGCAGAGACTCTTGGGGTAATTTTATGGTGCGAGCAGGCTAGAAGAGTTCGCTGTGAATTTTGTATCCAAAAATAGGTCCGAAGGTTGCATATTAGGGAATTTTGAAAACTGAAGGGTGGGCAAGCTAGCAAAGACCCTTTAGGACCTCAAACCCTCAGGGCTTCCGGAAAAATGCTGGAAAATGGCGGATTTCGGAACCAAAAGTGCCCGCCCGAGGCAAGAAGCCAGAAAGGTGGCCCTGGGTTGTTTGAGTGGGCCCGACTTCTTTCTGCCTAGCAGGGCTTCAAAACATTTTCGATTCGGAAATATTCATGAGCGCTGCTGTGGGCCTCCTTTCTCCCGAAACAGACAAAAAGATAGAGAGAGAGAGAGAGAGAGAGAGAGAGAGAGAGAGACGCACATACAAGGTATTGGGGGGAAGAAGCAACAAAAGATGCTCCTCCTCCTCCCCCTCCTGCTCCCCCCATTCTACGCGCGCCTTCTGCTGTTCTTCTGAAGCTCAAGAAGAAGAAGAAGACAAGAATTGGGGGGGTGAGGATCGATGGGAGGATGGGAAAGATGCTTTTCCCTCCACCAACCAACACCGCTTTTGCAATGTCAAACATCAGCCTGTGATGATGAGGATGTCTCGGACAGGAGAAGCTGAAATACAGGGTGTCCCAAAAAAAACCCCCCCTACCTAGCGGTCCGCAGTCAAGTCCGATTTTTACGATTTAGGTATCTATCGAAAGCTCCCGAAAAGGCGAGAAAACAAGGAGGGTTCATTTTCTTTATTATGCATTTTTATTCGCTAATTTTACGTCCAAAAACCATGAAATCTGCTAATTTGTGCAGGATCTGCATGCTAATTGCGAAATTCCTGTTGAAAAAGTACCAGTTTTTTTAGAAAAACCTTAAATATCGATGGAATTAGATTAAATCTTAGAAAACGAGACCCGCTTGTTTTCTCGCCTTTTCGAGAGCTATCGATGGGTAGTTAAATCATAAAAATCGGACTTGACTGCGGACCGCTAGGTAGGGGGGGGGTTTTTTTTGGGACACCCTGTACATCCGGAAGCGCTTTTTTCGAGCAAAAAGCAAGAATTTTGCGCCAACGGGACTCGAACCCGAGTCTTGTAAATGACAAGGGAAAGCCAAACCAATTCACCAGGTTAATTTTAATGAAAAATTTGCAAATGGCCAGTTCTAACCTGCTAGCCTGCTAGCCGGTCTGCCATCGGATCAGGCTCCCAAATGGTCTCTGCTAGCTTGCCATTGACTCTAAAAAGTCGGCAAAGGCTTTTGCTGCTTCTGAAAAAAACCTTCATGGAATCGCTAGCATGCCACGCGAGTTATCTGCTCTTGAAAACGTAATTTTTTGTTTTGTTTGACAGTTACAGCCATTCCTAAATGGTCTCCGCTACTCTGCCGGGGTAAAATCGCGCCAGATTAAGCGGATAACATCATTAATGATCCCTGCTAGCTTGCCAATCCCTTTTCTGGGATCGACCGGAAGCTCGACGCGATTTTAAAGGATTTTAAAGGATTCTGTATTCCACGTAGTTTCGGTTTCCAACGGCGAGGGCCCTGCTGCACAGTTTGTATGCCCGGTTTTACGACAGACCGGCTCGGGTGTAATTGAGGCTTTAGCCCCGGTAGGGACCCCCTCTCTCTCTCCCTCTCTCTCTCTCTCTCTCTCCACACAAAACTGTGCAATGATTCGTATGATCCCCGTCGATGCGCAAAACGTTGTGGGTCGATGATTCCGTAAATTGAGAGATACCCGTTTAGGGCCTTTATTTTCACAGACCGGATCTCGCCCACCCACCCACCTTTCTGATTCTGAAAGTAGCATTTTTCTGCAAATCCGGCCGTATAACTTAAGGCGAGGAAAGCCAAATTTCCTAGGGAAACCTGCCAAGCGGGGCCCGCTCGGTTCCTAAATGGTCTCCGCAAGCTAAAGGATCCCTCAAGATTCGCTGACAGCTCTGCAAGAGTCCGTTGGACGCTTTGAATTCCTGAAAGATCCTTGCTAGCCTGCCAGGGAATTACGTTCGGTACCCAAATGGGATCTGCTAGCTCACCTAATTTGGTTCCGAAATGGCCTGATAGTTTGCCAAAACCGGATATGTTGGAATTCCTAAAGGACTGCTAGCTTGCCATTAAATTTTAAGAGTTTGGCAATCTTCTTGCAAACTGGCTTCTATTTTCGACTTCGCCAAAATTCTCAAATCGTCCCTGCTAGCTTGCTAAAGCCAGAAAACAACTGTGATCTCTGGTGGTTGACCAGTGCTCAATTACCTACTCAAAATCTTAAAACATAGCATAGCTTGATTGCAGCCGTTACTGGAACCCCAACAATCTCTGCTAGCTTGCCATCCCATTTTCCAAAGCGACACCTAGTTCTCCGGTTTCCAATTCCTAAATGATCTCTGCTAGCCTGCCAGGTCACACTCACTTTTCCTTGAGTTGCGAGAGCAAAGATGTGTATCCATTTCCATTCTCCTCCCCTTCCCTTCCACCGCATATAAACGTTTTCATAGCCCGAGGGCACAATTTCTCAATTGTGTGTGTGGCAGAGTTGAAGAGGAGAGGGACAGCTCACTCTCTCTCTCCCTCTCTCTCTCGCTCTCTCTCTCGCTCTCTCTCGCTCTCTATCCCTTTCTCTCTCTGCCTCTCTCTCGCTCTGCGGTTGAATGTGAAAATACCGCCTTTCTCTCCGGGCCAACCGCAGCCGTTCCGCTTTTTTGCCTGAAAAATAAATTTGACTGTGGGGTTTTTGAGGGCAGACTAGCAGAGAGCATTTGGGTGACGGCCGCTAGGGGTAACCCAAAGAGATCATTTGGGAATTTTAAAGGTAGCGGCAGGCTAGCCGAGCCTATCTGAGAAAAATGCCCCTTCGGGGCAAGCTAGCGGAGGTCATTAGGGAATTTTCGGGTTGTCTCGGTAACGAGCAGAGGCGGTCGAAAGTCATTGATGTTTTTGGCAGTGTAGCAGGGGTCAGTTGAGAATTTTTACATCAAGTAGCAGTCTAGCAGCGACCATTTGGGACTTCAACGAGTTCGAGCTTCCGCCGAACTTCTTGAAGAAGTACAGTCCAGAATTCAGTATGCACTATTTCAAGGGGGGTATAGTTGAGTGGGTGGTGGGCAGGGGAGGTGTATTTGAGATGACCGCTTATTCTCCTCCCTTCCCCCGCCTGCTCCCCTCTCATCCTCAGCTTCTCCTCCTCCTCCCCCTTCCCCTGCCAGTTGTGGTTTTGCGCATCTTCCGCTTTTCCTCTTCCTCCAATTCCCCCATTCCCGATCATCATCATCATCACATTTCAGCGGTCAAAACCCAATCTCCCCCCTCTAACTCCGATTGCTTGTCTTTCAAGATTTATGCCGGACAATGTGATACGGTTTACTGTACGAAATTCTAATCGGCTATAATCTCTGCTAGTTTGTCTGAACTTTTATTCGATCTTTTCCAATTGCTTCAGGCAGTACGACCCGGCTCACGGCACGAAATATGCATCCGCAAAGGATCTCTGCTCGTTAGCCTGAAGTTTACGTCCTAAATGATCTCTGCTAGACTGCCATTATTTCGACAAGTCCGTCGACTTTTCTTGATTTCCTAAATGATCCTTGCTAGCATGCGCTTGATTTTGCCGAGATTCCTCACAGATCCCTGTTAGTTTGCCCTACTCGAGTATCTGTTTTTCCCCAATTCCCCTAAATCATCTCTGCTAGCCTGTCAACAGCTGCCACGATTCCACAATTAACTCTGCTAGCTCGTGTTTGAAAACGCAAAAACTTTTCATCCAATTTCCAAGTGATCTCTGCTAGCCTGCCCGCCGCAAGCCTCCTCCCACAGAAATTTCTGCTAGATTGCCCCCCCCCCGTCCTGGTCCGTCACATGCTTCCCCGCTTCTTAAATATCCCCGGCAAGCCTGCCCCCACGTTCCTTCAAATTCCCAAGCGATCTCCGCTAGCTGGCCCCTTGAATTTTCCAGGTTTTCCCAAATTCCCAGGGTCAAATTGGGTGGTGATGGTGCTTAAAAATCGAGCGTAAAAAGGAAAGTGTTGGCATTGGCAGATCGGCGGAGGGGGAGGCTACTTGTAATATTTGAGACACGAGCCTCGACCTTGCTACACACAACATTCTCGACACTTCTTCCACTTGCTACTTGAGCTCGGTCTCTCTCTCACTCTCTCTCTCTCTCTCTCTCTCTCTTGTCTCAATCTCTCGCTCTCTCGCTCAGGCCATGCCTATCCGTCCGCTTCTCCTGGCATTTTGAAGTGGACGAGCAAAAAGGAACGCGAGGTTACGGTCCTGGTAGTCAGCATATAATCTACTGGCCAGGCGGTAAATTTTATATTTGCATACGTCATTCTGGCATTTAAATGGGTATTAAAGGGAAGAAGTAGAAGTTAGCTACATACCAACTAGCAGGGATCCTTTAGGAAGCAGGATTCACCGAAAACCATAAGAGCCTGGCTTCCTAGTCCCTTTAAGCCCAATTTTAGCGGCAACTAGCAGTGATTCTTTAGGACTCGGCCTACTTCTTGTCAAGAAAATCCATAATATCCGGGCTTCCTTGTTCCTTTAAAAATCTAATTGGTTGAAATTCCTGGCAAGAACAAGTAGAAACCCTTTAGGAAAACCCGGAAAATTGAGCACGTCGAAAAACCGGAATCCGAACTTGCGTGTCCCCTTAAAACCACCGACTTTTGACACTGACACGAATTTTTGCTCGTCACATTCCCTTTAAAATCCCATTGCTAATTTTATTCGTTTTTAGTTTTTCTCTGAATTCTCTAAATCTCGCCCCATCCACCGTAACCCTCTAGATGAAGCGGCTCATCCCCTTTTGCTACCTACTAGCCATCGGATCATCTTTGCCGATACAAGAGGTGACTTTAGCGGGCCTGTAAAATGCAAATTTCTCTCGTTTCAGACCTGCCAATACAGTAGCCCAAATGTGACGATAACCTGGGAATTCAATGCCGCCTCTTCCAGCATATATTTCAGTCTGAATGCCCAGAGGGCGCAGGATGACTATTGGACGGGCATTTTCTTCCAAAAGGTCGGTGGCAGGCTTATTTTAAAATGGAAAATTTTTTCTAAAATAAATTGAGTTTTTAGAGTTAGAAAATCGTTTTTAGATGCTAGGAACCTGCTTTCAAGCTGGAAAAACTTGCTGTCACCTCCCTTTAAACCCCCCATAATCGAAGGGCTGCAGTTATGCAAATTTTCCTGCGATTTTTCCCGTTCTCCGCCCGAGCCCCGTTCCCAAACCGTCAGTCTCATGGAATCAATCGAGATCCGCTTGAGATGGGCGGCTTTGCCCCTGAAATGCCACCCGTTCGCCCAGAGTATTCAAACGGAATGGCCGGGGGAATGGCCGGATTCCGATCGGCGGTGGGCACTCATATTTTCGAAACTCATATTTTCGAAACTCACATTTTCGAAACTCATAGTTTCGAAAACTCATATTTTCGAAACTCACATTTTCGAAACTCATAGTTTCGAAAACTCATATTTTCGAAACTCATATTTTCGAAAACTCATATTTTCGAAACTCATATTTTCGAAAACTCACATTTTCGAAACTCATAGTTTCGAAAACCTATATTTTCGAAACTCATATTTCCGAAAACGGTTCTTGCGTGGGGGGGAACTGAACTTTTTTCTGCCCAAGCCTAGATTTTTTATATAAATGGTGGAATTGTTTCTAAACTGTTTATAGCTATTCCTAAGCATAAAACTTTACAAAATTTAATAAAAAAATTAATTTTAGGTAGAAAAATTAATTTTTTCGACCAAAAACGGCCAAATTTTCGACTTTTTCAAGCGTTTTTCTAAACTTTTAAAAAAGTTTTTCCTATTCAAAAAGTTCTTTTTTGTTTTTTTCCTATTCTCCCCCTCCCCGTATACGCCAGAACCCCAAAAACTCATAGTTTCGAAACTCATATTTTTGAAATTCATATTTTCTTAGGTTTTCTTAAGCTACCCAAGCCTATGCAAAGCTGTAACTATCAGTTTTCGAAAATACGAGTTTCGAAAATATGAGTTTTCGAAAATATGAGTTTCGAAAATATGAGTTTTCGAAAATCTGAGTTTCGAAAATCTGAGTTTCGAAAATATGAGTTTCGAAAATTATGCCGCAACTCCCCATCGGCACCAAAAAACGGATGCAAAGAGTTTGGTTGCGGAACATGAGAGGGTGGAGAGAGAGCGAGAGAGAGAGAGAGAGAGAGAGAGAGAGAGAGAGAGAGAGAGAGAGAGAGAGAGAGAGAGAGAGAGAGTTATAGTTACGGAGGTGTACTTCAGGATTTAATAAATAACATCAAGTTCGGGCAGGCATGCAGAGGTCCATTTGTGAATTTCTGGCCCGACGTAAAAGCGTCTAAAGGGCGGGTTACTAGCAAAGATTCGTTAGGATACAATGGCAGGCTAGCAAAGATATTTGGGAATTCATCTATCCACAAGGCGATCTGGCCGGGACCATTGCGGAAGCTCCTTTTCAAACCCTTTCTCAAGCTCAACCCGCTAATTCCAGTCCGAAGCTGTGATCGCGTACGTCCACGGGCGGAGAGCCGCGACAATCCTCTGGACATCTCGAAGGGGATGAAGTAGGTCAAAGGCCCATAAAAAATTATTTCTAAAAACCGTTAAAATCACGTTTTATAGGTAATCCTGGATGCCGAGCAGCGAGTGGATTTTGTATCTGGCACCTCGCCAAGTCTCCAATCCACCTCTATCATTTCTGAATTCACGAAACGAATAGATGACTTTGAAGAAGGGGCTTTTGATGCTGATGGGTGCTTGGTATGCTAAAAAATCGAGCAAGAGATCAAAAAAAATTTAGACGATCTCGTTCCCGGGTACGGTACTCCCGATCTCATCCACTGGAAACTTGATTGTTCCGGAAACGGTAGGAATTTTTGGAGGGAAGGCTAGCAGAGTTTCTTGAGGAACGAGAGAGACAGAGAGAACGAGAGAGAGAGCGTGTGAGAGAGAGAGAGAGAGAGAGAGAGAGGGAGGGGGGGAGCAAGAGCTCTAAGGCAAGCTAGCAGAGATTTTTGGGAAATCAAGTAAAATTCGGGGCGGGCTAGCAAAGATTTTTAAGGAATACATTTTAAGGTCGGATAAAGCAAAAGAGATAATTGAGGGCCTCAATGCCATTCCAAGGCATACTAGCGGTGATCATTGGGTACTCCTAATCCCTATTTTCAGCTCTCCCAATACCGTATCTGCAACATCGAGTCATCCTGCCAGAGTGCCACTGCCTCAAAGGCATCTGGGGAAAAGGAGCAGATTTTAGGTAATTAGCCCTGAATCTTGGGGGACTACAGCACTGCAGAAATGGACGGTGGAACCATCCTGTTTTTCGGGCATGAGGGCACGAAAATTGACCACGATTTGCGAGTTGTTTACCCGACCTCAAGAGTCCGTGTTTTTTGGGGGCGTTCAGAGGATTGTGGCGTAGGTGGAACTGTCAAGGGGGCTAAAATAGCGTGTCGTAATCTTAAAAAGTTGCTTTAAAAATGCTAGAATAGGCGTGACGCTACAGCAGCGCGTTCAGCTCATGGGGCGAGGCAGGCTAGCAGTGGCCATGCAGGGAATTCTTAGGCCAAGGGGCAGGCTAGGGGGACCTTTAGGGAATTTCCAGAACCGACTGATTTCAGATATCGTAAAACGCGACAACTCGGCCAAGGGCCCAGTATGCAATTGGATGGACGGCTCGAACACCGTCCACTGGGAAGCCGTCCCCAACGGCATCAAGTTCAAGTGGGTCAGCTCATCTACATATCACACTCCCCGTAAAATTCCAGCATCCAGGCCGACGTCAAGAAGGGCAAGTACTGGACGGCGATTGCTGTCGGGGAGAGCATGGGGGTGAGGACGAAACCGAACTGCTTGAAAACGCTGGAATTTTTAGAATTTGAAAATGGCTGTTGCTTTTACGGATGGTAACAAGGTGAAGCAGGTCGGAGGGTATACTTCTAGCGGGTGAGTCTGGATCTCTAGATGTTGCTTCTCTCTATATTTCTCTCTCTCTCTCTCTCTCTCTCTCTCTCTCTCTCTCTCTAACTCTATCTATCGCTTTTTCCAGTTGGCAACCCCCAGCCAAAGCCAAAGATCTCAAAGTGACCCTCAACAAGAAGGGTGTGAAGGCGATCGACAGCAAGCTGAGCTACGAGTTCATCATGCCGGCCGACGTCTTCAAGGCGGTGGTACGGTAGCTGGGTCACATTTTAGCATGGTTTTAGGATTCTGACGGTTGCCTCACCCTTCAATTCGGCATCAACGCCGGGCAGTACGCCGGAAATTTCCAGATTCACAAGCATGAGGCCACGCCAACACCGATGCAGGCAGGTTTAAAGGGACTGAGAAGACCGAAAATCTCGATTTTCCCCGCGTAATCGATTAGATATGGGCATATGGTTTCTGGTTTCCTTAAAATGAGGAAAGTTTTTCTCTTTTTCAGCGCGTAATCTATTGCCAAATTTTTAGAAGATGGGTTGTGGGTCCCTTTACAAGCGCCGCTTTCGAATTTTAACTTTTTTTAAGGTTTGCAACATCCAAAAATGCAGCGCCGACGATGCCGCGTCTCCCGCTGGTAAGCATATACAAAACGTCGTTAAAAATCTCTGCTAGCTGGCCATAGGTTTCCGGGAATTCCGAAATTGCCTCCGCTAGTTAGCCTCGGCTCATCCAAGATGATCTGCGCTAGCAAGCCTTTTGGCTTTTCCCAAATTACCCCTGCTAGCTTGCCCTTTCTCAAATGGTCACTGCTAGCTGCTTATTGTCTCTTTCCTCAATGATCTAGGCTAGTTAGCCATCCTTAAGGATCTTTGCTAGCTGCCCGGCTGCTCTTTCCTCAAGAATATCTGCTAGCTGCCTAAAAATTTTCCTCAAGAATGTCTGCTAGCAGCCCCATCTCCATTTCCTCACTGGTATCGCTTTCTGACTTTCCTCAGGCGTCTCTGCTAGCCGGCCCAATTAGTGATCGCAAGAGTCAAGAACTTCTCTAAGAATCCCTGCTACGTATCCCAATTTATTTCCTAAAGAAATCTTCCTGCTAGCCTGTTCTTACTCTCAAAAAACTTCCAAATAGTCTTCCCTTTTTAGAAACCGTCGAAGAAGGTTCGGGCGCCGTGGAAGAGGGCTCCGGCGAGGTGAGTTTTATTGGTGTGCCGTGTACAGCTTGGTGTTGTTGTGCAGCTACCTCCACAGCCTGCTTCCACAACTGCTTCCATGCCCGCTTCCCCGCCATCTTCACAAGCTCCCCAGAATCCTGGTGGCTTGTTGGATTTGCTTGGTGGCTTGGGAGGGAATGGTGTCACGCCCCCTTTAACCCCTCCCCCAAGAACGGCGAACCCGTTCGACCCTTTCGGGGAGATATTAGGGAATATTGGAGTGACGGAGAGGAGGGATGATCCGCTGAACGTCACGATGACGTCGGCTACGATAGCTGCGATTAGTGCATCGAATGAGGTGGTGGTAAAATACGCTTTTTAGATTTTACTTTTTGGGTTTTTCTTTGGGAATTCCGAGGGAATAAAAACAAAATAGCGGAGAAAATTTGCAAAATTTGGGCTAGCTAGCAGAGATCGTTTGGGACATCCCTATCTAGTTCTGTTCTCAGTCCCTTTAAGCCACTTTGTTCATGATTCTAGACTCGGGATTCCCAATCTATTTATTTCCTTTTTTTTGCAACGGGCCTTGGTTTGCTAGATTTTGCACGTTTTACGCTGTATTTCTCTCTCGCTCTCACTTACTGTCTCGCTGTCTCTCTCAGTCACTCTCTCTCCCTCTTTCTCTCGCTCTCTGTCTCTCCCACACTCACCGCAACCAAAAGGTCCTCTAACGCAGGCCGCTTTAGCCTAACCATGATCCGGTGGTGGCCAGCTCGGCGGCGAATCCAAATGTTGCTTCATCCGTTTCCGCTTCGGCGGCACCGGAAGCACTACTCACCAGTCCGGCTGAGGTATATCAACTATAAAGGCATGGGAATACGAAAAAAGCTATTAATCCCCGGAAAGATCGCAGGCTTGTCGAGGAACCCAAAAAGCCACGCATTTAGGTGAAAGCGACCACCGAGAAGCCGGCCGAAGTTGTCGTCACGACTGAGGTAATTCAGAATTTTAATTTTTAGCAACTGTTTTAGTGAATACCTATATTTATTTTTGCAAATTTCCAGCTGTTTTTGTGTTATTTTGATTGATATGATTGGTTTCTTAGCCACAAACGGGTGACTTTTTCACGACGGCCCGCCCGGGACTACGAGTTGTGAGTTTTTATTTTGATGCTCACCGTTTTGCTTGTAATGAGAGGAAGAGAGAGAGAGAGAGAGAGAGAGAGAGAGAGAGAGAGGGAGCGAGGGAGAGAGAGAGAGAGCGAGGGAGAGAGAGATAGTGAGAGAGAGAGCGAAAGAGAGCGAGAGAAAGAGCGAAAGAGAGCGAGAGAAAGAAAGAGCGAGAGAAAGCGAGAGCGAGAGCGAGAGAGAGTGGGCGAGAGAGAGGCAGAGAGAGAGCGAGTGATAGACGGAGAGACGCTAAGACTTTTGAGCTTTGAGTGTCATTAGTGTGTGTTCATTTTTTTACACTTTTTATGTGTGGTTCTCGTAATTTTGTATTTTTATTACGCTTTTTTGCTTTTTTCTTTAAGATTTTGCTGGAAGAATTGGCTGTGGAAAGTTGAGTTTCCGTATTCGATCGAAAAGCATTAAATTTATACCGTAATCTAGCTCGACAAATTCCAGCCAAGTCTCCATCCAATCCTTAAACCATGCCCCAAATACCGTACCCCTACTCTGTCAATTTCAGCAAAATTCCGGAGCCGTCTCCCCATCATCATCTGGTGGTGAACTAGGGCCGTTGGACGAGTCGAAGACGTCGGGATCAGGATCGAGCACGAGGAGTAGGGATTCACAGAAGAATTCAAAACCTAAAGAAGCCCCAATGTTGGGTGGATTCCTTCGGGTTGATGATCGACCGGAAATGGCCCTGAATATACAAACGAATAATGGCCCAGACAAGAGCCATAATAGACCGTTCACAGTACAGCGCGTACTTCCAGTCACCGTCCATCCATGCAAACAAGGCCAGACTGATCTGAGGGTTTGCCATGGATACTTTGCTGACTACCTGGGAAAGGTGAGTTTGGGACGAAAAAATCCCTTTAGTTTTGCAGTTTGTAGTCGGAAAATTTTTGAATTTGTGGATTTAGGCATTGCGATTTAAGCTATGTTCTGTTACAATTTCGATCATAAATATTCAAAAATCAAAAAGTTACAAATGAAAAACTAAACTTGGACAACTTAAAATGTAAAATTTTGTATTCTGTAATCAGAATGGCTCGAAATTTATATCACTAATGCATTAGACTATAAACTACACCCTGGAAAATTTAAAGCCAAAATAATGCAAAATCCGGCAGTTATCTCAAAATCATGCATGATTTTGGGTTTTTTTTTGGCGCAGTTAAAGCCGTGAAATTCCTGAATTTTGGAACAAATATTCTTTAGGTAGAGCAATGGGCGCAACGGCATGGCGAGACTGTTGGGGCACAGTTGTGGAAGGTATAAGAAGGAAACCGGAAATGGACATGGTGGCGGTGTGGAGCAGTTAAAAAAGAGTAGCATGGATGTGACAAGCGATAAAGAAAGAGAGAGAGAGAGAGAGAGAGAGAGAGAGAGAGAGAGAGAGAAAACGAGCGAGAGAGCAAGATAGAGAGAGCATGAGCGAGAGAGAGCATGTGTCCAAGAACGTGAGAGCGAGATAGAGAGAGCACGAGCGAGAGAGAGAGAGCGACCCTTAACTTCATTTCCCAAAATTCCATGCTGCTCCTTTCAACCTTTTAGTAGCGAACGCAACCCTATAACCTATATAACAATTTTAACACAGGTTGACTTCGGGTATATCACTGGTGGCAGGTATCACCCCTACAAGTTACAGTACCCCATCCACCGGGTCACCATTTAGGCGTGTTCCCTCCTTGCTGGTGTGCAGCACGTGCCGACAATGTGCTGCACCGAGTTTCACTCCACTTGCCGCGAGTTCATCCAGGATGAATAGCTTCAAAAAAATGCCGACAACCCTCGAAAATACCGACTACTCTCGAAAATCCTTCACAAATCAAAGTCCCAAAACGCCCTTTCCATTTTTTAATTTTTTAATTTTTTGCATGTGTTCCGCTATGAAACAGGTCTGCTGAATATCTGCTTTCCAATTTCCTTCTAAAAATTGCCCCTCTACCGTATATTTATTCCCCGCTCTCGCTAGTTAAAAAAATTGGACGATTTGTAGCTTTAATTTTCCCCATTTTGCGTGTGTGTATTTTTGTGCCTTGCTGAATAAATCGATCAATGAATTTTGCGTCTTTTAGTTCGAATTCCGCAAAGTATCCCTGCTAGTTGGCCCTATTTAATTGCTGGGGCCCAGTTTTCGCAAAGAAGTTCTGCCCGCTTGCCTCATTGTTTTCCTTTCATTCTGTTTTATCCTGTGGCTTTTGAATTTTTCTGGAAAAACTGTTAAAACGTTTGTCATTTAATTGAGAAATTTTTACTTTTCTTAAAGAATCTCTGCTAGATGGCCCTAAAATTCCGTTTACCAGTACCTTTCCTGTATTTCCAGTTTCCTAAAGGTTTTCTGCTAGCTTGCTCTCAATTTGCTGATGTTTAATTCTTAATTTCAAAGCTTCAGCGATGGGTGAGAGCATTTGACGCTCATTCCGTGGAATTTTTTAGCACTTTCTCTCTCTCACTCTCTCTCTCTCTCTCGCTCTCTCTCTGTCTCTCTCTCTCTTTTTCTCCCTATCTCGCTCACTCTTTTCTCGTGGTTTTTACTGATTTTCGACTTCACGTCATCCTTGGGACTGGAATATTTAGGTGCGGTTCTCGGGGATTTTGTAAAGAGGCGGTAGAGTGGAAGGTGGTCTAGGTAACTTCGCATTCTTTTGAAGGATTTGGGCGCCGAGATCTCAAAAAATTAGCAGAAAACAGTCGGGTGAATTACAGAAATAGCCAGAGCAGGATAGGCGCTGGATAGGATACATAAGCTATTGATAGAGGCAAGCTAGCAGAGATTCCTTAAACTATCAATGTCGATATTTTTATCTCGCCGTTTTGCCTATCCCCTCTGTTTCAATTTTAGAATTCGGCTCTTTGTCCTTCCCAGCCATTGTGTTGTGCCCTTTCCCCCTCCTTCTTGACCTCCTTCTCCCTCTCATTAATTATTCCATTGAAAAGGCGGGGGTGGCCAATGTATTTTTATGTTCTTTAATCCCAAAAAAGGTTCGAATGGGCGAGGGCGAGAGCTGCATAATTGGCTTTCGGCCCCGACGGCTGACCACCTTTTTTCTGATGGCCGAGGGGGAGGAGGGGAGGAGGAGGTGGCCTACGGGAGAATCCAATTTCCGTGGTCGGCAAACACCAATTTCAAGCCCTTTCCGACTAGGCTTGACAAGATTTGATCCGGAAATGGGGAGCTGATTGCTTCAGGTATGTGCCCTCGGGTCTAGTTGCTTCCGGATCAGACGATCTAAAGGTCTGAAGGGAAAGCGAGAGAGAGAGGAGAGAGAGAGAGAGAGACAGAGGAAGAGACAGAGATAGACAAAGAGAGCGAGAGAGAGAAGAGAGAGAGAGAGAGAGAGAGATTTTGGAATTCGCGTCAAAAATTGTCTTCCACTAGCTCAACCAGTTTTTCGCAATTTTCAGGGCAAACTAGCATGGATCGGATGGGATTCGCAGGTCTATATTTATGGCAACGGTCCTGTTAGGTAAACCAGCAGAGATCCCTGGGGAACTTTCCGGATCCACTTCCGTTTTAAGTAAACACATAATTCAACCAGAAGCTTGTATGTTTTTTGGTGATTTGTATACTTGTTTCCGCCATCCCCTGCCTCCATTCCGTGAGAAGTCTTCTTGTGTCTGGAGGGCCCCCGGCAGCCAATGAATTTTTTAGCGGGCCAGTGGAGCAGGGCGCGGGACTCGGGCATTAGCGAAAAGTCACGGAGACCAATATGAGACGAGACAATTCAATGATCGCATTTTCAAGTGGGGTAAGTGATCATTAAATGGACTGGGAATGCGGGAATGTTATTACGATTTCAGCGCTCCTTAAAAACGCTTAAAAGTAGGTTTAAAAATGAAAGCAATGAGACAAGTTCCTTAACTTAACTTGTCGTAATTGATGAGCTATTTTCAGTCGTAATCAAATATCGATTTCACGGCGTAATCGATTAGCTATTTCCAAACCTTAATCGATTTTAGGCTTGTCGATATTTCTGTAGCACCTAATAGATTTACTTGTCATTACATCCCTCCATTAATGCATCGATGTAAATCCCGCACAAAAAACATGGCGTAATCGATTATTAGTTTTCAAATTAATTATTCAAATTTTCTCGTTTTCCAGTATTCTTTTCCTGTCCTAATCGATGCGATCCTTCAAAATTTAGCCACTTTACATTCCATTTGGCTAAAACGACTACGCTCCGATACCATTTACACTTCCAGACTACCACAACACAAAAACTGCTATACTCGATGTGCTATCTGTTGCTCGGGAATCCACTGAAACCCGATCGCCTCTACTACTAATCCAGGAATAAGCCATCAGCCCCCAGGAAATCCAAAACCCAGCCACCAGCCTTTCCTTGTCTATTTTTTTGGGAGTCTCGTCAGAAGGAGCGCGTGACACATATGGAAATTGTTTGTGCTAGTTGAGGGCCTTATCTAGACGACCAGATAGACTGAACACCACTACAAATAAGTGGGTGGATGGAGGGAATTGGCACGAGGGGAGGGTGACCTGGAAAGGTGCCAGAAGAGAGAGACAGAGAGAGAGAGAGAGAGAGAGTGAGAGCGATTGGCGATAGCAAGCTTGGAAATACCTGTACAACCGACGCTTCCGCTTGGAACTATGTGTTAAAGGGACGGTGACAGCTGCGGTTGAGGGAATTCACTCCGACGCATCGCTGTGGTATCGCGTGCACCAGAAGCAGCAGTTGTTCATCGACCTTTGCGATTTCTTATCACTAATGCATCGATATAAAGACATTAGTCTCCTAACAAGAAGGCAATCCAGCAGAGATCCTTTGGGGAATATGCCGAATTTCAACTCAAATCTTCAAGGCAAGCTAGCAGAGAACATTTACGCTCCAGCTCGATTTTCCCGAAATTTTCTACTCTCGCCACTCCACAAAGTCGAAAATGCAGCAACTTCCAGCGATTTGCAGCTCTCTCTCCCACTCAAAATTGGCCACATTTCCGGTGCCCCCTCCACCAGCAAAAAAACGAGACTAAAACCGGGGGTGGCCCGGAAAATTGGGCCCCGATATGCTAAGAGGGGCTCTGGAGGAGAGGTGGCCGGAAATCCTGAACGGGGGCCAAAGTAGGGGGCCCATTTGGGACCCCACATTCCAATGGGGGCAAAGTGCTTATAGGAAAGAAAAAAAGAAATAAGTGCTTGGGACCTTTTGGGGGTTAGGGATAAGCCGTGTCCGGTCGATGGAGGGGATGGGATAAGCCGGTGGAGCGGAGGCGGAGGAGGTGGAGGATGAGGTGATGGATTTAATCTACGATGGCTTGGGCTGAAAATAGTTGAAAATTTGCATATGGTAGATCGGATTAGCATATACTTCTCAAAGACTCTCGGCCAATTTTCCCCCTGGTTACGGCTCGTTGCTTCAAAAACTTACCAGGCTCGGTTTCCCAAATGATCTCTGCTAGCTCGCTTCGAATTTTCTCAGCTAGATACCTCTAAAAAGTTCCTGCTCCCCTAGCCTCCAGACAAATCCAATCATGGCCCAGTGCCCCGATTTTGCAAAGATAGAGGCCGGTCCCTCGGGGCTTTCGGGTTCCGAATTGAAGACCCAGAAGGGAGCACAAGAAACCTTCGGAGGGCCCTCTTCTAGAAGCGAGAGAGAGAGAGAGAGAGGGCGAGAGACCGAACTGCCCACTTCTTAGGGCGCATCTCTCTGGGCCTTCTGCCTGGCCACTAGGGCCCTTCCGAAGTGGATTCTGAAGTGAGTAGAGTCCAGTTCTCCCCAGCAGTTGTTTTTGACAGGTCTGAAAGTGGAGCCCCAGGAGGTGATACCCTGGAGGGGACAGCGTTTAGGGTAAAAGCCGGAAGTTTTGGAGCGTTTTTAATTGGATGGGGGCGTAGGCGGCTTGGGTTTATTTAATTACGCACTCAAAATAGGGTTGAAAATATGCTTTTCTAGCCTCAAAGTATGGAAAATATGGTGGGAAGGTAAAAACTGGTGTAGCTCAGAATTTTGCCTCTAAACCACCTAAAAGTCAAATATCCGGATCGAATTTGTCTTAAAAGTACTTCTAAAAAGTTTGTTAGCGAGTTTATCATCGAAATTCGGCTGTCCGGTTTTAAGGCATTTTGAAGCCGTGGATATGTAAATTTTTGACTTCCAGGTGCCTTCCAGAAACGTCGTGAATTCTCAGAAGCTTCTCAACCATCCTTAAAATCCCAAAAATTCTTCCAGCTTGCCCCCATCTCCGCAAAATTTCGAATTGGGCCCCTGAGTTCACCCAGAAAATTCCCAGGGCTCCCCCCAGTTCTTTTTTTTGCGCTCTGCAAGTAGCCGCTGGGCCCCTGGGACCCGTCTAGTCCAAGTGGGTTCAGTTTTCTCTCTCTCTCTCTCTCCCGCTCTCTCTCTCTCCTATCTAGAATCGATAGAACCCGCCGTCCATTTCTTTGGGTCTCAGGCCAGAAAAGGCAAAAAAGGAGGCCATTTCCTGGGTGTCCCCCTTAGGGCCCTCTTTTAGTACAGAATGTGCCCCAATTCACGCCCCAACAGAGCCGTTTAGTCTAGCGGAACTGCTACTGGGAAGTTGGAATGTTTAAAGGGACCGTGAAGGCAGTGGGTAGATCTTTTATGGTTTGAAAATGATATCGGCTAGAGGAGAGAGAGCGAGAGAGAAAGAGATAAAGAAAGAGAGTGAGAGAGAGAGAGAGAGAGGGTGAGAGCAAGAGGACAAGAGATACAGAGAGGCTACATTCTAATTTTCTTACGGTAATCCTAGATATCCCCCAATGATCTCTGCTAGGTTCCC